ATCCTCCACAAAAAGCATTCAATCTTAAATGCAATTGTCTTCACCTTTTAGTTTTAAATGAAAAGGTTTCTATCAAAGCAGTTTACCCAAATACTCAGTTATCTACCTCTGCACACAAGATAGAAAATCAGAAATCCATTCACCAGTCAGGAACATTTAAATAGGAATCAGCACAAAATGATGAAAAATTTAGGGTAAGTCTCAACTATTCATTCACCTTATAAGCCTAATGCACTGGTGTTTCAGATCATTTGTTTTTAATGGTAAATAGAATGCCAAAAATTTTCAGATGATTTACTATTTTGAAAAGTATAAATGATAATGGATTAAATTATAGTGGAATAAATTATATTCCATTTGCATGCCAATATACTCCCTTGGGTGTGAGAAAAAAGGCCCAGACAAATATCTGGTTTCTAGCATTTACCCTAAAGCCTGGCTTATCTTGGTGGCAGTGTATGTTTCTCAAAAATGACCATTTCAAGGCTCTTCCAGAAACTTTCCACTTCCCTGTCAAGAGGTGGAATCTATTTCCACTTTCACTGAACCTGAACAGCCTGTATAAATGCTTTAATAAATAGAAAACAGTGGAGTGATGCTGTCTGATTTCCTAGGGTTGGCCACAAATGATAAAGTTACTGCCTTATTTTGTTTCTCTTGGTTGTACACTGAACTGGTATAAAAGTTTCCTGGCATGCTGGAAAGAAGACAAAAAAAAAGAGATACTTGAGGAACCAGATGCTGTAGTCTCCCCAGCTCAGGCTCCAGACACACAGTGACTAACTTCCAATTATGTATCCTCTCCTCTCTCATACAACACAGCAAAGGCCTAGGGGAGCAGAGATGAGCTGGCCCTGCTGATTCCCAGCCAGATTCAGACATAAGAGTCAAATAAACATGGCTACTGCTTTAAGACATAGAGTGGTCTGTTATGCTGTACTAAATAACTAGTACAGTCACTGTATCTATGGCAATGACATTGAAGGCCAATGTCCTGCCCTAATGTTTCCAAAGGAAAAAAGATTTTAAACTACCAGTTCACATCTACTTTCCAGTTTAGTCTATGGAAGTTATGTTGTTATCTACAGTATAAGATCAGGTGTCTTCCAAGTCAGGTGAACCAAAATAACAGTATCAAGTTCTTCACACTGTCATCTGCTATCAAATTTTAGTGTGAAGTAACCAGACTTTAGAGCTAAGTAAAATTGTTCCTTACTGTGTGATCCTAATCAAATTACATAACTTTGCTGAACACTTTCACTGATCTACAAAGTGGAAATAATACCCACCTGCCTTGCAAAGTGGTTACAGAATCAAATGAGCCATTATATCTAAAATATTTAGTATATCTGGTACTTAGGCAATCAGTAAGATGGCACTTCGGCATTTTAGCAGAGTGACAAGCTAAAGGATTGTGAGGGCACAGGGTTTGCTCAGCTGAAAGAAGCCTTCCTGAGGAATTCCAGCCTGGGATCCTATCTGTGATGCTCCAGGAAGGGAGAACGAGCCTCCAATCTACACTTGGAATTTCAACAAGAGAAACTACCACAATCCTCTGGTTTGTTTTGCTCTGTTTATTGCAGTTATTCTCATTAAAAATATTTGAGCAAATTTAACACTGCACTCTAGTTACTGCCTTCTTCTTTGTTACCATGCATCTTAATCAGCAAAGTACTAGTTTTGGTTTATTTTCATTTAGAGGTCATTGGAGAACTTTATGCCATAAAGCCATCAGAGTTCAGTTTTGACCAGTTATATTAAACAGGTTTTCAGAGGTTTGGCTACCAAGCTCAAAATATGAGCAAACAAAACAAATGATGTTGTGGGAAGAACAGAGAACCAGCCATTTTTCTGGATCTTTTGTTTCATTAAAGCTCAACCTCCACACATACAGTGAAGATTCTTGGATGGACAAAGCAGGACACTGTGAGACTAGAGTCTTGCCTCCCTCTTATAATGAGATCTTAGCAGGTGACTTCTGTGGGCATTCACTTGTGATAACTAAGATGCCTCAAGATCATCTAGTCTTGACAAGTGAGAGCAGCTGTCTCTCCTGATGTCACAGCTTTTGTGGTGGACAGACTTAGGATTGGTATTTAAGATGTTCCGGCTGTCACTGATACTCACTCCACAATACTTAGCTGGCTCTAAAATGAATTATGACGGTACTGAGAAAGGGGTATAATATGCATTCCTATTTAGATTTAGAAAAACAATTCCATGGGTGCCATATTTATTTACCAATTTTCAAGCTCTCTTGACAATAGTGTCTTGGACAAGAGCTCATGCCTAGGCTGAGACCTTCATTCTATGGACTTGGAAGAGCTCTTTAAATGCTTTTCACTTGGATCTGGATCTGGAGGATGAATTCTAACTATTGCTGGTGCTGTCCCTTGTGAGTGACATCTACGCTACAGAAAATGACAGACTTCTGTGCTTTGCAATCTATTGATGACAGAGTCACTATTATCTTCTGTGCCAAATGTGTCAGACCCAAAGAACATGTGGGTCAAAAATTCTACCTACCTACCGAATTGATGAGAGCTCTTTTTAATTCTTTCTGTCTGAGGACCAAAGAAATTCCTTAAGTTTCACAGGTCTGACTGACCACATAAGGATTATATTGAAGGACCTTGACTTGCCCAAAGATAGATCCATGGATGAAGTGCAAGTAAGACACCAGAGAAATTGGGAACAATGGGTAAAGGATATTTTTCTTATTTTAACTCACTTAAATCAATCACCCTGAATTTTATAGAGATATCTTTAATTTAACATTAAAGTGAAATTTGAACACTTGAATGTTGCACTAAGGTAAAAAAGAAAATGGGCAAATATGAAAACTGAAACAATGAGAAAGATAAAGAGGCTTAACAACCAGGAAATAGACTAATGTCATGGAAATGAGTCAGCCCAGAGGAGAGGACAGGGGGAGGCAAACTGTCGAGGTTGGCATGTTCTTATCTGCTAGGAAGACAATGAGGGGTGTATCTGGGAACAAGGGTGGAGAAGGTAGGGTCAGTAGACAGACAGCTCCTTGCCAGGCTGGTTCTAATACAGCTTGAATGGAAATTTCCTTTTAAAAAGTATAAATTCTATTGCTAGGCCCACACTCAGAAAATGAGATTCTCTCTCCATTAGAATCCCCAGTTTGAGATGTGTAGGAGTAGAGACAGAAATGTAGCAAATATCAGTCCTCTATGTCCAACATGGTGGCCACTTGCTAGTATGACTAAGGAACTAAATTTCACTTTAAATACTAAATTTTGCTTGAAGTTAATTTTTAGAGGTGGACTCATTAAGGCTCATTCACTTTACATTTATTTCAAAAAGCACTACTCTAGATTCTGAAGTGCCACTACTTATTAATTCTTTTGTGGTTCTGAGTGATCAAAGCCAGGGTCTTACACATGTTGGGAAAGTGCTCTACTACTGAACTGCACACCTAGGACCCACTTATTTTTTTAAGATTCCAACCTGTATCTATTTTAGCTTCACTGTCAAAATCATACTATAGCATATCATCTGAAAAGCCTAAGGATAGTCTTTCCTATGGGGTTACACTCTTGCAATAAACTGAAATTTGGAATTTGGTTTACAAATTTGCCTCAGATTGATGTCAATCAGCAAGCATCTGAGAAATTCTTTTTTTTTTTTTTTTTTTTTTTGAGTTTATTGGTACATTTAGGGATACAGTACAGTTACATTTATTGTTGGGATCATGTACCTCCAAATATAAAGACCCGATCCAAAAATGGGCATCCGAAATGAACAGACATTTCTCATACAAAGAAGTGAAAGCAGCAAGAAAATATATGAAAAAATGTTCCGCATCTGAGAAATTCTAATGTAAAAGGGCACTAGAGAAGCTGACAGAATCCTGAAACAAAACACAGTACCTTTTTATCTGCATCCCAAGCACTCTTTGTATATATGTATCATTAGAATTCAAATATTCAAGAGTAAATATCATATCCCTTAAGTCTTCTTTTACATAATCCTAAAAAGTGTGTTAAATAAACTCAATAGTATATTGACATTCCAAAGAAGCAACTATTTTAAACATGAATCAAATATGTGGCAAATGATAACAAATTTATATATACTGCCACATGTACAAGTAAAACTTCATGAAGTTAAGAAAAAGTTCCCCTAATGAACATGACCTAAAAACTTTCAAATCTTTGCTCTAAACCATACTGACAGACCATGAAGCCTGTTACCACCAGCATCTGTACCACTGGATCTTACATCACTCTCCCAGCCAGTGTAAAATGAACATAGCATCCACACTTCCACATTCCAGAGAGGCAGAAATAGCTATTCCCTCCATTTTCAGAGCTGGGTCATGGATTAATTATAGAGAAGATAAACAACACATTTAAAGTTCAGCATTTGCTAAAAGCCACTATTTCCAGTCAGACCTTAAGTGATCATTTTGGAAACTGCCATCAAACGCACAAGGTGCTTGTTAAAGGGACAGTAAACCTACCTCAGAATACCCACAAAGCTTCAGGCCAGTAGCATCCTATTTATCAACTGCGCTTATAAATCAGAATGTGATAAAGGCAGCAGTATAATTCATGAAAAAAAACTTTAACTTTTACCTTTGCTTTATGAAATAAAATAATGACATAAGCTGACATAATATTTACATACATATAAAATACCTATACCTTTAAATTGAGTATCTTTTCCCACTAAATTACATTATTTTAAGTCTTTATTTTAAATCTGGGTTTTTTTCCAGAGTCTAATTGGAATTTTCCTTGACTTAATTCTGGATTGTAAATTCTCTAAGTCTCAGGTCTTCCAAGTAGCAGAAAAGCTCCTCATGTAATTTTCTTGAGTTAATCTACTCATTCTTCTCTTCCTGTTTTTAAATTCACATGGCATTTAGGATCTGATCTGCTCTGGTTGTTTATCTCTTCATAGGATGCACTGTTCTTTTCCCACCCTTTCCCCAAGAACCCTGGGCTTTGTTCCTCCCTGTAGCTTACCTCTGCTCCACCACTCACTCTGGAGTCCCATTCCCGAGCAGAAAGAGCCATGGATGCTGCTGTCTTGCTCTCCCCACTCTGGTCTTGTTCCAATCTGGGAAATATTCCTATGGCAACCAACATGCACCACCATCTCACTCCTCTTCCCTCAAAGTTCCCTGTTTGTGTGGCAGACGTTTGGCAAGGACACTGAATTACTTTAACTTGCCTAGCAACTAGTAGCCTGTTCCAGCCCCTTTAAAGGAGTTTGGCTTTTTTTTTTCTTTTATCTTTTAAAACACTTTCAGGGGCTGGTTGGCTAGTTGTAGAAAGGGCAGCTACCAAATCAGCCTCACTGGGCACTAGCATGGAGCACATACAACTGCTGGGGAAACTGGAGCCTCCTCTGGCTCCTAGGTGAAAGAATGTTCATGTGAGCAAGGCAGCAGTTTGAGAGCAAACAGTTCTAAGGGGCTCACTCTGGGATGACTCGAGGAGAATTTCAGTGTTTAAAGAACCCCAGAGTCTACTCCGCTATAATAAGGAGTCAAATTATCAACACTTGGATTTATTATGGAAGCCAGGTTTATCTATCCACTATGCTATCTGTCTCAGACCTACCTATTTTTACCTGACAGTTTGCAAAGAGATATTTCAATTTACAGATTGTACTTTATTCATGTAGTTTATTTTGGTAACAAGAACCAACACAGACCCAAATGACTGATACTGCTGTCCATATTTTTACCCCCACAGTGAATTCTAAAGGAATATTCAGTGTGTCTCTCTCTAATCTAATTTGGGAGCTCTAAAATGAAGTGCTTTTACCCAAAAATCTATACAGGTAGAGACTCTTAAACAATGAATAAACAGTTTATGAAGCTACTGGGGTGCTCTTCTGAAGGATTTCATGGGTGCTTGGTGCCTTTTAGAACAGAAGCCTATAGTGGATACTTGCTCCAAAACAGCTAATAAAATAATTGAGCCAGGTAATGGAGAAAAACAGAAGCTACTGGACGAGCATTTTTACTGCTAGGTGCAGCCAACTGCCTTCCACAAGGAAAGCAAGGTCACTGCTGCAGAGAGAGCTGCCAATATAGGCCAGGAAGAGAATGCAGAGTGGATGTTAGTGCACACCACCCGTCCTTTGTGAGACAATCACTTCCACTGCTAGGGAGCAGAAGACCCACTCTTCTATACTTTTAGGCTTCAGTTTTCTTAAAAAAGCCTTCTTAGTCACTTCCATGGCTTTTGAAGGACAAGGATAATTTTTAGTCCAAGATCCTGTTCTAATCATGACACACAATAGGTGGTTAGTAAACATTTACTGAAACAAAACCTTAGACAAAACAATAACTAAAAATGTAAATTAACATTTTTATACTCTTTTACCTATCATCATATTACAAACTAAAACTTTTGTCAGAGTCAAGTGTTGACAAGGGTATGGAGAAACATGACATTCACACTCACACACACACACACACACACACACACACACATATATTTTTTTGGTTTTTTGAGACAGGGTCTCACTATGTAGTTGAAATTGACTTAGAAATCACTATGTAGACTAGGCTGGTCTAGAACTCACAGCAATTCTCCTGCCTCAGCCTCCCAAGTGCTGAGATTACAGGCGTGCACCACCACACCTTGCTATGACGTTCTTGTATATTGTAGATAGAAGTATATATTAGTGCAGGTATTTATAGGCCAACTTGGTATCAACTTTAGGGATTCTACAGATGCACATAGTTTTTCATCAGTAATCCAATCCCCTTACTTTTTCCCAAGCCATTTGTTTCCTACAAATAAGTTTACTAAACTGCAAAAAGCTATGTCCAGGGATGCTTATGGCAACATTACAACAGAATAAACTGGAAAAATGTAAATGTTGATAATCAGAAAATGCATTAAATTATGGCACACAAACAAAATGGAATACTATATAGCCATAAAATGAGGTGAATTTATACATATCAAGGGCAGATGTCCAAAATACATTGCTAAGAAAATATACTGCACAACAGAATCTACATAGGTATCCATATGTACATTTATATAAACATAGATGTGTCTTATGTGTGTATATATACATGTGTATACCCATACATGAATAGGACATGAGTTCATTTTTGGTAAATATGTAGAAATTTAACAGTGGATGTCTACTAGGAATGGTATTTAGGAATATTAATAGAGGGCCGGGGATTTAGCTGAGCAGTTCAGCGGCCTGCCTTGCAAGTGCAAGGACCCGAGTTCGATCCCTGGTGCCAAAAAAAAAAAAAAAAAAAGGAATATTAATAGGAAGGAATATTCTTATTTCATTTTGTAGTTTTTAAAAATGTTGATTATCAAAACAAAAATATTTTAGTCATTCTTTAAAAACGTTAATTCTTACTTGCTTTTGTATCAATAGTTTTTAAAAAATGAAGACAGCAGGTCATTTCTGTCATTCAGGTGGCCCTGTCTAACCTGTATCGTGGCTTCTAAAACCACATGCATCTCCCATAGGAAGTGAAAAGCTACAGAAGTGGAAAGAGCAGCTCACGCAAACTGCTTTTAATGTGTTGGACACAGTAAATATATCAGAATTTTATTAGGAATTTAAGAGTCATATTAGGTCTATATAAATTAAGATAAAAGTTTTGAAGACATACATATATACAAGAAGCTAAAAATAAAATTTCTTCCTAATGCTTGAGAAATTTTTTTTAAGAGAAGGAATCAGAGAAATAAAGCCTGCTGCTAAATTAAGATGCCCTAAACCCCCAAAGCTATGTACATGCACTATATACATATTCTTTGTATAAAAGGAAACCACCAATAAACTGGATTCAAGAATTACAAGCAAAAAAAGAAAAAAGAAAGAAAAGTATAAATGCATCTTTTGAGAGTATTACTTAACATGCAGAGAGAGAGAACTCAAGAGAAATTTTCCTGAGTCATTATCAAATCAATAACAAAATAGCAGGAACCATGGCATAAATTTTTTTCAACTCCCAAACGTTAGAAAGAACACTCTGCTTTAAAAATGGAACATTAAGGTTCATTTCCACATTACTCCCTAGCTCCCAAATACTCCTCCTACCTTTTTCTTTAAAAATCAAGAGAAAAAATAATCAAGAGAAAAAATGTCCCTTGTTGCTCATTATAAAACCCCAGAATGCTCTTGACTTTGCCATTTAAACTGCCTATTGTTCTCCTAACTCCAGGAAATCTCTGAAAACCAGACATAATGATTGTTGTGACGGCTTTCAGTAACAAGAAAGGAAGCTTTCTGTCAAAAGAAAAGCTCTTTCCATTTCCATCACATGCAAAACAAGCTGCATCCACGAACATCTTCATAGACAGAGAAGCTTCTGTGAGATCCCAAAAATGTACTACAAAAGCAAAAGAATGAATAAAATGACAGATAAATTTGTAGGAGTTTTTCCCTTTTTGATACAGCAAACTTGTAATTTATTTCCCTATTAGTACTGACTCTATAGTTGGAGACCTGACTTCTTGCTTCAGAACGGTTCAGGACAAATCTCAGACATTAACTCAACAAAGGAGCAGAAATAAATTGAGAATTGATGCTTGTTTTGAATTCTCTGAATGGGAGAACATATAAAATATTCTTACAAGAATGCCTGATTGCAATAGAACAAACATGCAAAAATATCAGTGATTATATTAGATACAAAGCTACTTAATTTAGAGCTGTGGATTCCTAGTACTGCATAGACTGTGGATGTGACAGAACTCTACATACCATGAAAAATTAGACACAAACACAAAGCAAGGATCAGGTAGGCCCACAGTTCATATCGTTATTCATTAGGGGCCGAGTCAGGCATAAAATAACCACAAAATAATGGCTGGGGTTCAACTTGGGAGTACACAAGCAATAAGAAAGATAGTGGAACAAAAGATTGCATCAGTCTCTCTACTGAAGGTTAGGTGGCTTGTACACTAAATGGGAGCTATACAGGGGCTTCCTCTCCTCTCTAAACATGGCCAGTCCACAGCAGGGGCCCACCCCACGCAACATTTGAAAGATGTGTATGCTTCAACGCAACAGTGTTGCAGAGATTCTATAATAAGAAAGAGGGCTTGACAGTAAAAGATAATCTACCTCTAACAAAAAGGAAAACCTAATAGTCTCACATGCAGACATCCCTTAATTCATCTAGTATTTACTCATGTTTCACTACAGGTTAAGCACCATTACTGAAGTTGTTTTGTCAATAAAGTTTAGTTTAGACAATTACAGAAATCTAAACAAGTTTTCAGGGGAAAGCAGTTGGCCTCTATCTTGTACCAGTGTCTGGTCAAAGTAGAGATAATAAAACATATTCCTCCTTAGTTGGTTTCTTACAGGCAAACTCTTTTCCATATCCAACCTCAGTGATGCTATTTAAGTACCAGGATATTTTTATCTTAAGATGAAAGAAAAATGCCAACCTTTTTCAAAAGGATGTAATTGTGCTAGACAACATCTAAGGGGATTGAGGGGCATGTAACTGTTTACAATAATATCTCACAACAAATACATACTGTTAGAAGGAAGGTATGTGTGACAATATTGAATTACAGATGAAGTTTAAAGAAATGGGGTATCGGAGCAATTCAAATTAAATGCTGATAAAATATTACCAAGTAGCAATCCTCCTAGGACTAGTTTAATGGCTAAAATCACTCATAGTCAGTACATAGTTAGGATGCAAATAGATGCAAAGAAGGCATTTGAAAGCAGATATTCCTCTCAAGCAGGTTGACATGTTTCCTAGCAAACATGTTTACATTTTTCATTTGTTCTGTGGGTTCCCTCTTCATAGATAAAACAAAGTAAGCTGAAGAATTACCCTAGAGAAATTACCAAGGACCATGAATTAATGGAGTACAAATGAACTGCATTTCTGAAGAGAGAAAGAGGGCTCTGTCAGATAGCTGCAGCCAACTGCATCTGGGTATATTTTTAAATGAGTGTTTATACTCCACTGTTCATCCACATTATCACGAGAGGCTCTGTCTTTGCATACAAAGCAGGGAAGAACTGCTGAATGAAATGAGTGTGCTGAATGGAGCTGAAAGTGGGTGGAGGGGTGTGTGTGCCCTCCTTTTGCTCTGTTATTTTTCTTTCCCTTCCTATCTGGTATTCTGCGATAGACTGATAGCTTTTCAAACTGAAATGACTGAGCAAGATGGGCTTGACCACTTAGACTCAGGAAAAGCACATTGGAAACTTTTTTTCAGCCTGTGTATGCTCCTCAG